TTACATAACGTGTACAATTAATTCGACCATGTCACGAAGAATATTTAATTCTATGTCGACGGTCGATAGAAAGTTAAACGGATTACGTACGCGAAATCCTTGGGATTGAGTCTCACTTAATCCGTGGTTCGCTTAAATACGGTTTATTTTAATCTGAATTGAGTCGAGATGTTTTTTCTGATAGTGTAATTTTTTACAATTTATTTATGCACGATGATTAAATAATGAACACTATTTTAATTAATCTATTAATATTTGAAATTTTGAAAATACATATAAACAGATTACCAAAATATTGTAATATCTTTAACTCATTAGTTTTTTTATCGGAACGTTTTGACGTAAGTTTAAATTTATAATATATACACTTATAGCTATATTATATATTTATGCAATTTTAGTTTACAAGAAAAAAATCTAAAAAATTTTTAAAAAGAAATTCGCTACAAGAACATAAAATTTGCAGTATAAAATAAAAAACATTTAACATTTTGTATTTCAATTTGTGTTAAAAACGGTCCACTCAAGTTCTTGTTAAAATTTTGTGTTAAATTTTTAATATATTTAAGTCAATTTAACGTAATGTGATTTTGTTATTTAAATATTTTGTATTAAATTGATATTAAACATTTTTTGTGTCAAAAGAACACAATTAATGAACAAAGCATAAAAATAATGTTTTAAAATGTAAATTCTAACATAAATGAATAAAAATACGTGTTAATTTAATTATAAATGTTAATTTGACTAAAAACTATACTTCTCAGTTTGCTTACAAATTGTGTCAATGTTACATTTTTTGTATTAATTTTTTTATACATAATATTTGTGTTACGTTTTAACATATTCATTTTGTATTAATAGAAAAATTTAAGTGGACCGTTTGGGACATATGAAATATGTTAAATTTAACACAAATTTTCCAACTGTATAGGTGATATATCGTAAATTTTGATTATATTTCTCAAAGCAAGGAAAATTTATATTTCTATTTCGACTAGCAGCCCAAATTAAACTTGCGAAAGATCCTCCGCGCGTAACGTGGTGGACCTTTTCATGAAAGGCGAACAATCGGAATACATCACGTACGAATACATTTCCTGGCTCCAGCTTAACTGTATAGACTTTGACATTGTTACACCCCTTTCCAACACAATGAGAGAGACAGTAGGGATGTTTCGCAGAATTACGCACGAACAGTAAGCAGGTTAGGTCGCACACGATCGCATTGTATCATCTTTCCCAGCATATTAATGTACGTCGTTTGAAACTCCTTTCAGCCCAATATAACTCGATTTTCATAAACGTGCACTCGAGCAGTAGTTTCGTCGCTCTGACTAATTTAAATACAATCGCCGAAGTATCTGTCACATATCTAAAATAATACTTATTAAATTCTCAATGAGAAATTTATTTAATTATTAGATACAAATTATAATTTAATTGTTGTTGATTATATATGTACATTGCTGTTCATACGCATACATCTTATTTCATATTCTTTATATACATTTCACATTTTATTCTATCTTATAAATCCCAAGTTCTAGTTGTCAAGCATGTGGACGTAGAATACGGAAGAGTAGCGAGGGTGGCAGCTTTCTCGGCTCTGGCGACGTTTATCGAATTTTTCGCGGGGCCACTTAGATAATTCGCAGCAGGCAGGGGGCTTACGTAAGAATCGATCATTCTCTGGCGTCACGAGAAATTTAATGGCTCGTGGCTTGCTGCGCGCGCGCGATTGAGAGAAAGGGAGAGAGAGAGAGAGAGAGAGAGAGAGAGATTAAAGTTCTTCTCTTGTTACTATATTGACAGATGTACGACAAAGCTGGATTCATCTCGGTGCAGGATCTATGACAAAATAACAGGCTCAAAATGTCCTTTGCACCCTGCAGCTATGACTCCTTAACAATGTCCTGAAATACGAATTAAACGAGCAATGGTATATAGAACAGAAAAGGGTGCGAGAAATGAATTGATGACCATGGCGTTTCTTTCTTTGTTTGGATTACAATAAGCAATTTGTGTCGCGCGCGAATACTGATGCTGCAGGATCGATTTTCTTGCAGAATATTTACAATGCAAACAAGAAAGTTGTCTGAGGATCCTAACACTTTGTCTTAACGCTTATTAGCTCGGATGAAATCTGCTAAACAACTTTCTCTTGGTCTTTTATGTTGGAAACTATTTTCTTTCAAACAAAAATCTTTGCGTTTGCCGTTTAATGTATTTTAAATTCTTTCTTTCTTGAAACGGATTCATGCTTTTTTTATTATATACATATAATTCTAAAATTCTAAAATTTAAAGTAATAATATAATTCTCTTATTTTGTTAAGTCTGTGAAAAGACAACTCGTCTTGTTTTTTGCATTTCTATACGTACAAGAAAGACGCGTCCAACATAAATTCGGGAATCCAGGATTCACATTATCCACTTCGTCGATGGCGTCCAACTCGGCGCCGCCACGTCGATCGATGGCTGCCGAACGCGGATGTGTCAATTTGCGATATTATGCGGAACGCGGCGTGTAAACGCGCGCCGAGGACGACGACGGTAGACGCGCGAGGACGAGCACGGGAGCGGCGGCGGCGGCGGCGGCGGCGGCGGCAAAGGGGGGAAAGTGCGGGATGAGAGAGTCATAAAATCGAGCGAAGTGAACGCCAGGAGGGAGACACTGAGTGATGTCGGTGACAGGTCGCCCGCCCTCCTCCACGTCCTCCTGCAACCGCCTCCTGTCGCTATTACTCACCGAACGCCGAATACCATTCAAAGTTCGAAACCGCACGTTCGCGACCCAATTCCTACGCGGAGTCAGCTGTTCGGTTCATTCAAAGCTCGATCGCTAGCGCCGCCGGGTGCCTGGCGCGAAATATCGGCTAAATTATAAAAAAATAAAAGGTGGATCACGCGTGTAGTCGCCATCGATAATTTCGTTTAGGATATATGGCTAGTGATCCTGGACTTGTGCGTGGACGAATGCGTTAGCAGTTTTATTAAAATATTCATCTAATATCTTTATTTATCATTATTTTGGCAAATACATTATTACAATTAGTGCATTTTGATAGCTATTGTTATATATCATGTTATATCTTTCGCACGAACAATTTTGATGAAACAGATATTAATAATAAGAATTGTATTTAAGTGTCTACTTATAATGTGATATATGAGCTAGTATATGTATACATATGCATGTATACACAATATATGCATATTTGACTATTTGCTATGCCACAAGCAATAAAATAAAAAACACCCAATTTTCGGATATATAAAATCTTTTATCCAATATGAAAGCAAATCATATATGGGACGATTTCTATCTTTGATTTAATCATTGTTCGAATAACTTTAACGTGTTTGTAATATCTGTAAACATAACAAAAGGAATACTTATTTATAAATTATTTGTTACCTTTGTGCCAACGTGTAGTTTTTTAGACAAAGAATTTTCTTGTCGCTGCTTATAAATATTATTTGACAAAAGGTGACTAAAAAAATATATTTTAGATAAGATGATTATAAAGGTTACAGGTCATTAGCGACATTAATGAGTGCGTTAATCTTGGCAAATAAAATATCATATAGGTATAACGTGCACGCGAAGGAATTTGGGAAAGAATAGTGAATTGTTGAGTTAGGATCAGCTCTAATTCCGCAAACTAGGATCAATAGGAATTTGTTCAGGTGGCTGCGTTTCGTAGAGAAACGAGGGTGAATTCTTTCTGCCAAGATCCACTCGCCATGCCGACTGTCAGTATTGTCCTGCGCTCGCGCGCGCACCCGCGTGACCGTTCGGTTTGATCTGCCGAGCGTACGGCGAGCGCCGGAACGAGAGGAGCAGTTCTAAAAGTGCAATGTCAAATTTTGTCCCGCGTCGATCACCGACGGCACGTCCACGCCGAAGTGCTTCAGTCAGTCGTATTAATACTCACGTCAAGGTTGCTCCAGGTCAATGAAACTGCAAAATTACTCTGCACGTTTTCATATTCTCTTTCTCCTTCCGATGTATCACACACCTTTTTATAATAAAATTTGGCATAGTTTACTAATATGTTTGAACTATAATGTCGATTGAACTTTCTCAAATTGCATAGATATTATTAAAACAACACGTTACATTAGTCTCTTTGGGAAATGTCTTTAGAATCGCGTTTCTAGGCTTCTAGCAACAAGACACGAAACAAGAGAGAAACATATGCAGAATCATGCATTTTTCCCTGTTTAAATCCTTAGAAGAGCCTCGATTCTCGAAGCAAGGAAGAAGCAAGGAGAGGCGAACGGGAATGCGAGGGAAACGCCTTGGTCGACTGCGCGCTCGCGTGGAATCGGAGCGATGGAGTCGCGGCCGAGGATCGCGCGAGGTCTCCCGACTCCCGGTCCACGTATCTCGGTGTATTTCGCGAATGACGCTCTCTCCTGCTCTTGGTATCGTCCTAGCCGCGCGCGGCCTCTTCGTCGTCATCGTCGTCGCCACCGCCGCCGTCGCGTCGTCGGCGTCGTCGGCGTCGTCGTCGCCCGTCGGCGGCGGCGGTCTCGTTGGTAGTGGTGTAGCGATGGCGGAGAATCCCATGGTTCGCAGTCTCGCCGTGACGGCGCTGGAACCGCGCGCGCTCTCGCCTGCTCTCGGCGCTCTCGCCCGGATCCCGATAGGCGGGCTCAACGGACGCATTGGCCGCTCTCGGTGGGCGTGTCGGCGGCATCTCCCACTCCGTCGCGTAGCACGGCGCTGATTGACAGTTGGCGAACGACTGCGGACGGCGCAGGATCTAAAACCGCGCTAGGCGCTGCTCTCCACGCTCGCTCGCTCCGCTCTTCTCTACCCGTGCGATCTACACCCGGTTGCTTTTTCGTGGGGGAAACCTGAAACACGCATATCCCCGTGGCTGCCTTCGACCGCGCGCCCGCCGCCGCCGCCGCCGCCGCCGCCGCCGTCGCCGCCGCCGCTACGTGTAACACACTACGAACCTACCACCTTCTGTCCGCCGGAGTTACGAGTGCCACACGCAGTAGTAGTCACGGTCAGGGAGGAGGGTCGCCCGCCGTCTCGCGGACAGCTCTTGCTCGCGCGGTCTCCTCTCTCGACTCGCGTCCGTACGATCTTGCGGTTATATCGGTATACCGCCCGCGAATAATAAACGCCACCCGTCGCGTCGCGTCGCGTCGCGTCCTTCTCGTCTTCGTCTCGCCTCGTCTCGCCTCGCGTCTTGACGCGCGGTAACTCGCCCGTAGTAACGTCGTGCAGCGCGCGCGATTACTCCGAAACGTGAAACGGAGCGCGGCCCGGTGCGCGGTGTTAGAATCCGTGCGCAACGTGTTTTAAGGCGCGGCAACCTCGGAGTAACGTATCGCGAGACAACGCCGTGTCGTGGCAACGCCGCCGTCACACCGTGTGTGCGTCACGCGCGTCTTCGCTCCCGTAAACGCGAAACACCCGCGTCTCGAGTCTCGAGGTGCCGCGCGAGCATACACGTCGCCCGTCGGTTGACTGTGCCGCGACGGTGAATTAGTGCTCGCGTCGTGGCGCCCGTCGTCGTCGTCTTCTTCGTCGTCGGGCGTCATAGTGCAGACGTCTCACTTGAGAGCGTCTATCTCTGAGTACGGTGTCGGTGAACTGGAGTAGAATGTAACGTGTTCTGTCAGTGACATCATCGGTGATCATCAATTGCAGTGTGCGAAACAGTGAATACAAGCGGGACGTCTCGAAGCGTCGGCGTCGTGCCACGTGTATCGCGGATGTGAAGAGAACAGGAAAGTGGACGAGATCGACTTGGTGTTTTGCAGCCAACACCGGTCAGCACACAGTACCTAAGCACAATTGTCTCGATGCGGCACGTTCGGCTGGCAGACCTCGCGATCGCCTCGCGCACAAACGCGCTCTAGATGCGTTTTCCACGTTACACTTCCCTCTCAACAAGATAATTCGCCGGTGTTGTTAATATCGCGCGCGGAGGTCAAGCCACGTGCCCGCGCGCGCAACGGGCCGAGCGTTCGTGACATGCGGGATTAACGACCGCGGGCCCTGTACCCCCCGTGTGTACCCGGACGTCCGAGGTAGTGCCGCCGCAATGATGATGATGAGGAAGCACGTGTACCCGGCAACAGCCATAGTCGTAGCCGTCGGACAAGTTCTTCAGCAAACGATACCTACCGCCGAGCTCTGCTGACGCTCGTCCGCGACAGTTTGAATTTAGCGTCGGCTGCCGTTTCGTTTTCAACGACGCCGTCGGCCGTCCTTGTGTGCGCGTATGTGTGAGTCTTTCAAAATACAGAGGACGAAAGACAACAAAAGGAAAAGCAGAAGGAATCTTAGGAGAGGGAGAAACGGAGAGAGATAGAGAGAAGGATCAGTAGAGCGGAACTGCAGCAGCAGGCCGACGGAGCACGGATTGTCCAAGTGCCGAGTGCGGCGTCAGTTCGTGCGCCAGTGACGACGCATCCCGACGGCTCCTTCGTCGAGCTTCAAAAAGAAGAGAAAGAAGAGATTTCTCTCGCAGCGTGCCGTCGGAATTCGGAGACGTGATCCCCTCGTCTTTTTCCGTCGGACAACCTTATCTTTACCGTGAAAGTCTAACGTCACGCAGCGCGTCCGAGCATTAAGCTTAGCGCGCGCTATAACAGTGCCGAGAAAGTGTAGTGAAGTGTCTCGCTTGCTTACATTGTGGGAAAATACAGCCGCTACGGTGGCTCAGCACGCAGAGTTCCCCGGCGCGGCCAGGGCGTTCATGGCGCAGCCAAGGGTATGTTTCGCATACATCTTTTCCTCGATATGCTAGGTGAACGATCGATAAACGCGCGGACGACGATCAGTTGCGTGAAACCGGAGCCGCGAATGATCCATCTTCGAGATTCCGAATACGTGCGAGAAATCTTGTCATCTTTCATCGTAGACAACTATACTATTGCGCATCGTTAGTGATGGAAATTAAAATTCTCGATGAGGACGTGACGCTTGCTGCTGATTCTTTCTGGTCTCCTTTTTCTTCTTGACGTATTTTTGCGGAGTGCTCCAAAAATGTCTAAATGAAAATTTCACGAGACTCGAAATGCCGTTGTGGGAAAGTTTCTAAATCTTATGTTTTAAAATAAATGAGAGTGATAGAAGGTGAAAGATTCTCTTTACGCGAAAGAGTGATCGATTGTCCGCGGTTATTTCTAAACGTGCTCGCGTGATTCGCGAATAGAATCGTGTTTTTTCGTTGACCCTGCGGCCCGTGAGCCGTCTGTAAAACAGTGCTCCTCTTTTCCTCTCGCTGCGTCGCGTCTTTCGAAAGAAGCGGCAAGCCTTAGACTCGCGCACGAGTCCGTGGCTGGGGAATTTGAATTGAATATCGTCACCGTGTCGAAAGGGAATTTACATGTTGGCCGCCTCGGTGCGCTTTGTAACGTCGCTTACAACGCGTTGCAGCGGCCGAAGAAAGAGAAACGACAGTCGCACAAAGGGGCTGCTTTCGGGCTTGCCGAGAGCGAGCTTCTTACTCACGCGCGAAATTCGGGCGATTCGCGCGCACCAGTGTCACCCGGTATCGCCGATTCGCGAAGGATGCGAGACAACGCGAGGGAAAGGAGAGAGAGAG